GCCTGATCCAGTGCTTGCAGAGGTGTGATTTATGCCTCAGCTGCAAGAGGTGCAGTTCCCTCACCGGTGTGTGCACAGGTAGAGGGGTATTAGCCAGAGTAGCCATCTAGGGAATGCCCTGCAGTGCTGGACAGCACCAGTTTGTCACCCACTGGGGACCTCCACACCTGCAGCCCCAGCCAGGCTTCCCTTCCCTGGTGGAAATCCCTGGTGGAAATCCCTGGGAGGGGAGAGCAGGTGAAGCAGTACCTGTGCTGTAGGTGATACGTTTTCAGTGCTGTCCTCAAGCACTGAGGTTGTTTCCATGGTGAAAAGGGGTTTGTGTCGATCCCTGGCACTCAGAACAATCCAGCAGAGGCACAGAGACAGCTGGAGATAGATAGAAATTACTTTGTTCCTCTTTTCTGCCTTATGTGTGTTGGTACCAAACCTCTGCATCCTGGGATTGTTGGGGCTGTTCCTTGGGAGGTCGTTGCTGCAGTTGGAGGAATAATTATCTCTGTGTGTGTACATATTTACACACAGAAATGCTGTGCTGTTTTTGCTCTCACACACACACAAACACTCATGTTTTGATTTGTCTTTTAAGGGAATGTTTCCATAATTTAGTCAATTTTCAACAACAAGTCAGTCAGTTTCCCCCTGCACCTGACTCTGAGTCTCTCTGCCCGTGGGTTCCCAAAGATCCTCCAGGCACTGCCTCCTGCTGTGTGCTGGCAGGGGAGCCTGGCTCAGGACAGCCAGCCCAGCTGGCAGAGGTGATGCCCTGGGTCTCGTATCTCACCGTTTTCCCTGAGGGAAGGTTCTCCCATGTGGAGGTCAGGATGCTGCACACACTGGTGAGTCCCCACTCACCTGCCTGTTAACCTTTACAGCCGTAGGCTTCAGCCACACACACTCTAAGCATGAGAGCAAAACAGCTCAGTCCTGATACTCCAGGATTATCAGGGCTGTGGATCAGCCCTGTCCAGCAGCAATCCCTTTTCCCTTGCTGCTGTTCTCCTGGTTGGTGCCTGAGCTGTGCCTATGCCATCCATGTCCCAGCTGGTGACACCGCACGGGCACTGCCCTGCCCATGGTCCCCGAGGCAGCTGCTGCTGGGCTGTTCCCAGCTGATTGGCAAGGGCTTTCCATGTGCCTGTTTTGCCAAAGTTTCTCATAAGTTTTTCTCCAGGTAAAGCCTGGGATTATGGAAAGCTTGGCTTGTCTTCATCTGGGCTATTTATAGAGCGGCAAGGAGGAATAGAGGGGTTTGGGCACATATTTTAGGGGAGAAAACGGCTGGATGTGTAGCAGCAAGCCAGATCTTGTTCAGCATTCCTCCAGTTAGTCACAGGCTCCAACGACCTTGTGAGAGATGCAGGCAACAGGAGAACTTCCCTGGAGAAGGATGATTGCCTTTAAACCATTCCACATCGTAGACGGTTGGGTGAGGTTGGGATCCCAAGTCAAAACATGTCTCTTGATTCCTGAGCCGTGAGCCTTGCAGCCCTTTGGAAAAGGCTGAGCCTGATGGCTGTGCCCACGGCTGCTTCCTCAGCTCCTTGATTCCCAGAGCTGCCCCAGTGGTGCTGGGGACAGGGGACAGGGGCAGACAGGGGGGCTGGAGCTGGCCAAAGGGGCTCTGTCCCTGCTTGGATTCAGGGTTTGGAATAAGAGCCAGGATGTTCCTATCTGGGTCCGTCTGCCCTGTTCTCCTCCTGCAGCACACTGCCACGTGCATTGTAGGTTTGAGGTTTGCCCCAAATTAGAGCTGCACCAGGCACCAGGAGCAAACATCCCGCTGGGAAATGAGCTACAAACCACTGCCTGGGGCTGGCTCCGGGCAGCGCTCCCAGGAGTGGTGTGTGGGGATACACCCACGAGCAGTGAGCACGAGGGACAGGCTGGAAGGCAGGTCAGACACTCAGCATCGCTGTCACGATGCCATCGCCAGGGCCTGCTGGTCACCTTGCCAGGGTGGCCTCGCCAAGCTGTGACACTGACAGCTGGAAGGGCCACTGTGGAGCAGAGCCCTGGATGTCACAGGGCTGTCACTCCCTGCCTGCAGCAGGACATCTCCCACACCTGTGCGAACCCCAGAACGTCCCTGCCCTGTCCCCACTGGCAGAACAGTGGCTTTCCCTAGGCAGGTGTGCCAGAAATCCAGGACTGTGGCACCTCGCTGCCTCCAGCGAGGATGGAGCGAATCGAGGGGGGTGATTGAAGCACACAGAGTTTATCCCTCACACAAGTGGTGACCTGTTGGAAAGCCCAAGCCACCTAGACCAGCTCCCTCGGCTCCCCTCCCGCTTGCTGGCCCTTTAAGGAGGCTGTAACAGGACACCCCAGCCCTGGAGAAGGGTGGCTGAGGTTTCCCTGTCTCTAAACTGGCTGGTGTTTTCTTTTTTCCCTCCTCCCCTTTTCCCTTCCTCCAGTCCCAGTTCAATTTGCTGAACAACAGCATGGATCAGAGCATCGGCAGCAGAGCAGCCTCCACCAGCCCCTACAGCTCGGAGCACACCTCCAATGTCCCAACGCACTCGCCCTACTCGCAGCCCAGCTCTACCTTCGAGGCCATGTCCCCGGCGCCCGTCATCCCCTCCAACACCGACTACCCTGGTCCCCACCACTTTGAGGTGACCTTCCAGCAGTCCAGCACCGCCAAGTCAGCCACCTGGACAGTAAGTTGCATGTCTCCTACCCTCCCTAAGGGGGATGCTCACCACTGCCAATGGTGTTCTCACCACCAACACCCAATGCCTTGGTGATGGGGACACTCGCCTGGGGTGGCTGCAGGACATGGTCACCACTGATGGGGACTTGTAGCCCTGGGAAGCAAAACATGCAGGAAACATCCATGCTTGCTTTTCAGGGGATTTCTCCCCAAGGGCTGTGAAGTACAGCAGCTCCAATGTCACTTTTCTCACTGCAATTGCCTAAATTTCAGGTAAATGACTCCAAAAATAAATGTCCTGGGGAAGTACTTGCCTTGTTCTCTCAGTGCTTCCCGGCACATTTGCCAATGAGCACTGTCAGAGGTGAGGCTGTGGGTGAGAGGGACCTTTGCTCACATCTCCCAGCGCCGTTCCCAGCTTTGCCGTAAATTCCTACTTGTCATTTACAATCCTTTTGTACCTCGTATTAGAGGAGTAACTTAATCTCTAGAAGTGACAGCAGAGCAGGTTTCTGATCACGGTAGGCTCTGATGCACAGAGGGATTTGCCACACAGCATCGCGCGGTCTGCCTGTCCCCGCGGGGGTCGGGATGCAGGTTTGGTCCGCGGGGGTCGGGATGCAGGTTTGGTTCGCGGGGGTTGGGATGCAGGTTTGGTTCGCGGGAGTTGGGATGCAGGTTTGGTCCGCACCCCGCGGGGGTCGGGATGCAGGTTTGGTCCGCGGGGGT